AAAATGTCAATGACTTTGAATTCTATCTTTACCATGGCAGGCCGTTCAACTGAGATTTTTTTTTAGTAACATCAGCTCCTTGCAACAAAAACACTTAGATGTTGTGCAGATATATTGTGTAGTGCATTAAGTTTGAGTGAAAAATCTATAACCTACATGTGCATAGAGACATATCACCATCATGCAATTTTGCAGGAGAGGAAAAGAAGAAAATATTTGTGTGACCACAGAATCGCTGCAGCTGGAAAGCTTCAAGTTACAAAGTCCGTACTTCTAGAGAGAATGGCCCAATAGGAGAGTGGTCCAACAAGCTCATACCAACTAAAATCCAAAATTAATTGGTCACATTCTTCACTGAATGAGAGCGCTGTAGTGACACTTTTCGAGAAAACCCTGTTTATTTAAAGAGAATATACAACATTTGCTTTTGCTGTAATTTTCAGAAATGGGTGGATTTGGGGGATTTGTATTTTAAAGCAAATATTGTTACACTGACTTGTTTGAAGTTTTGTGTTTCATAGATGCTGGAAAACCAAGAAAAACAGTCTTGTTCCTGTAGTCTGGTTCCCTGACTCCACTTAAGTTGAAACAGAGCAATTTAGATGGCTTATAGGAAACCAGTCTAGCTGGCTTGTACCCATTCATAGGTGTGTAATTGATTGCATTAATGCGAACTAACTAAATATGGTAAATTGGGGCAAAGTCAGTTTTTTTCCAACGCTGGTCAGCCGACCAGTGTTGGAAATTGATACAAAATACCGCTTTTCTTGATTATGACAGCATACAATGGTGCCATTACTTTACAGGATGCTTTAGACTGTCATTCACTAACAGTCAGTAAGGTATTTCATAATATTGGTAGTTTTGTTTTTTGATGTTCACAAATGTATTCCCTTTAAAGCAAAAACCACAAAATAACCCCCCCCCCAAAAAAATCATCCCTACGTCCCTGGAAGCACATGACCTACATGTACATGTAAGGGCACCATGCACCCCCTCAATTAAGAAAGGGAGAGTTGGGAAAGACTTTCAGATGCATTGCTGATGACACCCGACACTCGTAGGACGGCCTACTTTACTCACTCTTTAGCTGACAAAATTCTCCAAAATTTTCTTAAGGCAAAGATAACGCTTTCAGTGTTTCACCAGCCAAGTTTGAGGTCTCAGTTCACTTTTTAGAAGACATTTCTTCAACAATTTGCACCCAAGAATGAAGCCGGGTGATTTCAATTTGAAGCCCAAGACTAGACTGGTACATGTCAAACTTTCTGAAAAAGATTAACTTACAGTATAGTCTGGTGGCATGTACGGAGGGAATGTATAGCAATTGAGACTGGATACCAGATGTTAAATTTCTTAAGACTTCCTTTACTAAGGAGTCTGAGACAGTGTGTGGACTGGTTGTTTCAGGTGCCAGTCTATTTTCCTGTGTTGCATGTTTTCAATATCTTAAGTTTTGATACTCTCTCTCGTAAACAGTATTGAGAGTTTCAAATTTTCAGACTAGCCTAAGGCCACTTGAAATGGTAGCTACAACTTACAGGACAAAAGAAATTGAATAAAATGTTTCAGACTTTGCTTAATCAACTTTTGCCATCACAACAGCTTTACATGAACATGATTTCCCCAACCCCACCGGCAGAATTCATAATGAGAAGCACATTAATGCAGCCACTTCATAAAAACACAACCGCGGCGCTACTCAAAAGAAGAGTCACATTTCTTGCCCACGAGGCAAACAGATAATGCACACAGCAACATGATAGGGTTTATCATTTCAATGGGCAATTATCACCAAGGCTATGTGTAAACCCAATACCGCTAATCAGTTTCTCTGTGCTGGGTTCCAACAGTGACCTGTAAAGAATATGATTACAATCTGTGCAAAGTCATAATGACAGTACAGATCAGCAGCATCATGTTGACGATGCTTAAAGGGCCATGCATTGTAATTTTGTTAATGCCATCCTTGGAAATGTACCTTTGTGTCCCATATTTACCCTATTTTCAATTTTCATTCTGCTATTTTCAAGGGTATTTTGGTGCTTTTTTGTATTTATGCTAATGCAAATGTCCATATTCATGAACACACGTCTGACATCACTTCAGGCAAAAACCTCAATGTTACAGCTATTTTGGCACCAAAGGTTGCCAGAATGTTGGATATTCGCTTTCTCAATTTTCTTTTCTTTGGTGATTTATTGTTGCGTCAGTACATGGCAGTCAACCAATGAGCCAACGTTTCTCATTTGAACAGTGTCTTCCTAAAATGACATAACAGCAACAGCGCCCTCAGTTGTCCGGAAAAGCATTGACAATTTTAAATGTTTAAAGAAGTGCACTTTTGAATAAATTTTACCAAAACGGGAAGATGTCAAATATTTTTCATACATTTAAGAGGAGTACAGTTGCACAAAATATGTGTCCAAAAAGGCACTTCATGACCCCTTTAAAGCTACATGCATTCTTATGCCAATACTAAAAAAAAAATGTTAACTAGATAAAGAAAACAAACCTCACACTACAAACTCAAAGAAAAAGAAGCAAGATGCTAGAAGAAAATCACATCTTAAAACTACCCGATGAATGCGAACATTTGAATATTTGACAAAAATTACAGCAGTATGGGCAATAAAGAGGTTATTTGAATACAAAACTTGATGGCAGGATTGTAACGTAAACGTCTCACGTTTCTTTACAATTACAAGTTCTTTCTCAGTGCAATGCAAAAACTATTAGGTGCTGGAAGTTTCTATTTAAAGGTAGAGTATAGGCCTATCATTTGCAGCTATCCAAAAAAGTAACTGACAAAATTATTGTTGAAAAGCATACTTGGTTTAAAGTTAGTAATGGCACTAAACTCCCTGTGAAATTATTCATTCTAACATGCTGTCATTTTGAAGAAAACAATACAAGGTCATTTCCAAAGATGCTTCTTAAGACGCATTTTGGTAATTTCCGTTAGTTCATTTTTAATTTGCGAAGTTGTGAATGGGTGCGTGCAAGCGTTGACACAACGTACATGCACGTGCGGTTGCTATTATTCGTCGGTTCTGTGCAAGACATCGCGTAGCTACAATCAGCTGAATGAGAAAGAGGTTTCGGATGCTGATGTCGGGCGCAATTCAAAACATGACTCAGCAACTTTTGAATTGAAATCAAGATTTCTCGGAATATACAGCATTCACTGAACTAAAACTTCATCAGGTTAGTTGTTAAGCACCTTTTCTTTGGATTTTGAGCACTTTTGTTGCTTCAAACAAAATGCACAAAGGACAAATTATGATATACATGTACAATACCTTTAAAGGAACAAGTGAAAATTAGGGGGGGGTTTCAATTTTTATAATATTATCAATTTTGGACCCTTACTTCACTCTGAAAGAGATCCCCTAAAATAAAGATAAACTGTGCCCATCCTCCCTTTTCAGAAATGTTCTGCCACTGCTTACCACACGAGGGCGCTCTTTCACTTGGCAAGATATTATTTGCGCATATACATTAACTTACTGTATCTAATAGGTGCTATTTTGAGCCGATGCTTTTGCTAACCATTTTGCAAAGAGTTTGTGTGGCATTTCAAACATGAGAAAGAGGCATCCTAGATTTGTCACATGACAGAAAAAAATGGCCATTGAAACATTTCACTAATAGACTGGCAACATGTCCCTATGGCAAGAGGACAAGCAATGACTACACAAGTTGTGATATTTTACTGGTTACAATGCACCACGACAATTAATTCTTCCATCCCTGTTACACCGTCAATGCTTAAAGTGCAGAGGAAGATTTGACACCTTTAACCCTAAGGGGTGACCGCTACCTCAATCCTTCAAAATCCTCCAACAACCACTGTAATACATTGAGGCAGTGGGGGTGATATCCAGAAGCGGTGCGAATGATATCCAGTATAATGTGGTCCTCAATGATGCATGGCTGAACATAAACAACGCAGGGCGCAGCCTACAACCTCAATACAATGCATCCCCCAACAAGAACTGACACTTTTTGCCATTCATCAGCCTCAATCCTGCAAAATCCTCCAAAACTGCCTGGTTGATTTTGGAGGATTGAGGGTTAGGGTTAACCTATGAGTGTGCTGAAACCAAACATGACCCTAAATGGGGTCATCAGGTCTAACCCAAAAAAAATGTCTTTACAGGCTGGATGCTCTCTGACAAATGGTGAGAATGTTTGGACAATATCCTCACAAAGCAGCAGTCGCTGCTTTTATGTCACAAGAGGGCAGTGTTGTCCTCGAGTCCATCACAAGTCCTCACAAGTCCATAAGCATCACAAGTCCTAACTAGTCTTCACAGACCTTTACAAGTCCCTCCAGTCTCAAGTAATATTACACGCTACTCAATGAACTTGTAGTTTGAAAAAAAAACTTCCTTTAGGCCAAAAAAAAAAAGTCTCCGGTTTCTGGTATGCGCGCGCGTCGCCGTAGCCATGCACGTCGGCAAAATGAAAAAGGTTTTTTTTCAATGAAAGATGATGTCTCAAAACCGCCAAACTCACTCGTTTGACTGGAATCCTGCTGCTGCACAATTTTAACGTGTTTTTAGATTGGGTTATGGTCGAGAATAAGCTTTATGTGGCCTCTCTGGACTCCCATATATTTGCACTAAGATTAGTCGGGCACCATTTGCAGTCATCAGCCGACATTTGAAGCAAAAAAATCAGGTAAAAAAAAAAAAAGGCCGCGTCGCCGCACCACTTTTTGGGCAAGCTCCATACCAGAAACCGGAGACTTTTTTTTTTGGCCTTAGTATCCCTTTAAGCCCTTGCATCGCCCCAAAGCGCACTGCCTGTTACTCCTTATACCGCCCAAAACCGCTCCAGCATGCTATGGTTTCATGGATCCATGGAGTGGATACAATGTAATACAATGTTATACAAGCGCTAAAGGGTTATTGTTCATCCTGTGTTACTTGTGACCGAACTTTGTGAAAGGACTTGTGATTTACTTTTTACCAGACTTGTGCTGCACTCGACTACAAGACTGCTAGAGGGCCACATCATGCACAGAGTGGATACAACTGGTTATAAAGAAACGCTTGTCTCATAAATTACGCCGGTGTTAGTATTCAAATCAATGCAAAAACAACAAGGAATTCGATGCAAGCTAGTATCGCTGTAGTTATTAATACTACTAGAGGTTGCGGTTAATTGTAACGTGCAAGACGCCAAAACTTTCCACAAACCTTCTTTCTTCCCTTGCTTTGTTTTCTTCTCTTTATCTTTCTCCGGAGTGTCTGTGACAGAATTTGGCATCAATTGCACACTTTCATTTCAGCTGTGTTGGGGGAGGGGGGAGAAGGGGGAGGAGGGGGAGGTGGGTGGGGAGAGGGGTGAGGAGGGGTTGATGAGGGGGTGAGGAGGGGGGAAAGAGGGGGTGGGGGGGGGTAGGAGAGGGGGATGGGGAGGGGGGCAGTTTCACGGAGCTGCTAAGCACCGTATTTTCATGGCACTGACATTTTCTAAGCACCGCAGAAATTTGCTAACCAGAATATTTTTGCTCATTTTTGCTTAGTACAGGATTTTTTCAATAACTCTTTTCACCTTAGCAGCTCTGTAAATTTGGGTCGATTCGCTGTGTTGCACATGACTAAAGTTCCTTTGTCTTTAATGAACCTATCTGGTTGTTAATGCGCTGAGAAAGTGTGATGTCAAAGTGTGTTTTTAATGCGCTGAGAGAGTGTGACGTCACCTACTCCTCAGGTCAGGCTCACTTCCTTGGACAATGGTTTACGTGCCTTCCATAACGACAAATGTCATGTACATGTATGTTTAACACACATGATCAAGGACAGCAATTTTTCAGCCAACAATTAGGTCATTATCACATATTAGCACCTGAAAAAATGGTTCACTGCATTACAGCAGATTGTCACCACACCAGTTACAACCACAGTTATGCTTATTTTGCTTCAAAGAGGAGAATCAAGCCAATTACGAAACGGATTCACAACAGCCATAGCGAAACCACAGGGTTCACTGGGCCGTTGCAGTACGTGTGAACCAGTAATCACGGTTGCACGGAATTGACCTCTGAGTGACGTCACAACTTTTCCAGCGCATTAACACCAATTTTTTTTTTTCATATTTAAGATTTTTATACACCATTTATCTCTAAAATAACAATATTCTACTCAATGCCTAAAGGAAAATAGCTGCATGATGGATATCTCCGTGAAATACATGACTGCAAATTCAGGAATGAGTATAGGCCTGCCAATCAGGGGTATCAATATCATGTGAAGCAACTTGATACAGTGACAATACAGTGACAAAAATGTCAATCTAACTACTTTACATAAGACAAAGCTTAAAGTAAATTACTAACAGTAACTTTAGAACACAATATCCAACAAATCTAAAGGCCCGTCTCAGTTCATATCCGGGACGAGTTCCGGACAATTTGCGGTTAAAATCATTCACTTTGATCCAGAAGCAGCACTGAATTTGTCCAAGACATGTTCCGGGGGAAATTTTCATCAGCTACTTCTTAAAGTCACCAATACTGATAACTTCATGGTGGAAAGATTGCGGGGAAGTTGTTCAGAGTCCTGCAACTCATACCCAGTACAATTTCCGGAACTTTTCCAGAACTCGTCCCAGATATGAATTGAGGCGGGTCCTTAGAGTGAACTAGGAGGAATTACATACATGTATCTAACTCAGAATCCCAAACAAATCTATCTTTCAAAACCACAACTTGATTTTGCAAAAAAAGAAACGACAAGGTGCTTCTTTTATTATGAAAATGATGGTTTGACTTAAATAAACTGTTACAAAAGCTACTTTTGCAGTTACAGGCCCTCACAAAATCTTGCAAAAGGTAAACTCAATGAAATCTTTGGAACATATTCACCAAGCCACATTTTCCATGTTACTATGAGCCATGTTACTATGAGATGTCAAAATGAAAAATAAGTAGATGTCAAAAACGAAGAGCACAGTACGTTCTTTAAAATGCAAATGAAAATAAAGAAGTGCAAAATGTCCTTAAGCCTCTTATTGTTGGATCTGGTCACATTCAACCTCACACAAGATCAAACACATTTCCTTCAAAACCAATTTCCTTTTTTGAAGATTTGTTTTTAATTTAATTTGTTTTCTTTATTATTCGATTACAACAGTTCAATTTTGATGTGGGAGAAGTTTAAAACGAAAAATTGTCTTACCTGCAAGTGAGCCGGCTGCCTTCATGGCGCCTTGTCCAAGATCGCGAAGTCCAGCCACTAAGGTGATCAGGTGATCGCAACACTCCGCCAAAGAGGTTTGCACCTGTTGAAGAATATACACCTGCAATCAACACCTGTTTCTTGCATGTTTAACACATCAGAGCATATGAGACCTGTTCTTACAAACTGAGGATTAAAGGTATATAGGATTATTTATCCCAAAGGTACTCTACCGAATTATCATCAAAAATCTTGCTTGGATCAAAGATCTTACTGGAACTTAAACATGCTGAGAAATTATTGCGTCTGGCTTCCTGTTATTTACAAGAATTCAAGAAATGTACAATGTAGGCGATTTCCAACGATCGGTCAATTGACTGATCTTTTGGAATTAAGAGTGCAATTGACGAAATCAATGTTTCGTGATCAAAAGGTTGTGCAGACTTTTTCACTGTTTTCACAAAAATTGTAATATCCACTGAGCTGAAACTTCAACAGGTTAGGTTCTGAACATCCTTCTTTGGATTTTGAGTGGTTTTATTATTGGAAAGGGAAAAAAGTGCATGGAAAGCAAATGATCCTATATGCCAACATTGAAAGTCTCCAAGTACCACTTGGTTTTGAAATCTTACGAAAGCAAGAGTGTTGACTTTTTGTTAATCTAAATTTGTCTTTAAAGTTAGTAAGAATATCGTATGAGGTGCTAAAATTGCTGAACCCGCATGGGATCTGACTTTATGCAGGAAATTTTAGGCATACAAGAAACGTAGATGGTTCAGATAAGTTATCTGTAATTTTTAAGACCGTAGGAAGTCCTGTAGTTGCAGGAGGACTTACAAATCTGTCCTTGGTATCTCTGGCTTAGAAAGTGTGCCAGTAAAAAAATTGACGGAAAAGAATTACTTTATGAAAAGGACAATTATTTATTTTTGAACAGACCATCTTCTTAAGCTCTGGCAGTAGCTTCTACACTGGTGGTCGGTCGGTCGGATGGTCTGTCTGGGTGTCTGCCTGTCTGTTTGTCTGTCTGTCCCCGAAAATTGACAAAATATGTGGTTCCGTAATGTGCAATCGGCGTCGCATTTTTCGGCGTCGCATCTTTAAGCTCTGGCAGGGATCATTTTGATCGATTTCATGCAAGACTTTCATGCAAGACTTCTTGCAACGTCAGCTTCGCTTGAGTCTAATACAGCCAGAGCTTGTTGCCCACTCACACTTGTTGTACTTACATCTCCTCCATAGACAAGAGCCTGTGGTCCTGGTGTGGGTCCATCACTTCCCTCCACCTGAGGCAACCGACGACGAATCTGGAAGAAAAAAATAAATAAAATTGTTACAAACTTAGAAAACTTGGAATAGTTTACAGCAACCTGTAAGGACAGTGATGGTTGTTTTGAATGAAATAGCTGTCAGCTGTCAGCACCTTAAGTACTTATTATGGTGCATGTGCGCACATTAAAATACACAGTTAAATTATTACCAAGGCTTCACCTTGCCCGCCTGGCCAACATACACACACATACCTTTTTCACTTGATAGTACAGTAGTGATTGAAAACTTCATTATAAATGCACAGTTAACAAAACACATACTTTGAATTCTCTTCATCAAAAAAAAATGGTTACAAGCGGTGTACTATGTTTTTCACAAGGGCTAGGTTTCTTTCAAGTCCAGAGCGTGAACCTGACAAAGTCTGTCGACTTGCAGCGGTAAGCCTATGGAGTACCGAGGTAAATACGTCACGCGCACAAAATGTGTGTGAAAGACATTAGCGCGTGATTCAGCCCGTGAACCAACACACGCACGTACTCCACTCGTTTGCACTACACTTTCTGGTTTGAAATGACGTCACACTTCAGTACTCCATTGATTGTGTTCTGCGATATGCTAGCCAAAAAAAAACAAGAGAACTTACCATGCGAGCAAACGTCTTGAGGTCGGCGTTGGTGCCCTCCAAATCCTTGAGAAGGATAGAGAAATCACTGGTTTCCTGCATCGCCTGGGGATGTTATACGCATGTGGGATTATACATTGGTCACCATCCAATAAAATCACGATTACAATAAGAATGACACCATCTTTATTTAACAATGTATGGAACCCCACTCCAGTCTTTTTTTAATTCAATTTTAAAATGATAATGCACATTGTCAGTTTCCCTATGTTGCTTATTTGAAAAAGTTTGCAATATCTTCTTTGATTGATCCCCGATTGCAATTTCCAGGGTTTACAGCATTGCTAATGTTACTGGCATTGTGACTGTGGGCGTGATTCCTAGCTACCATCAGGTATAAATATACTGTTTTTTTTTGCTTCAGACTAGTGCCCCTTGAACAAAGGCATTGAGAAAATGAGGGAACCGCCAACATAGGGTTGGATAGCTCAGATGGTAGAGCGCTGGAACGGCAATTCAAAGGTCATAGGTTCAAACCCCGCTTTAATGCAATTTCTTTGTTCAACTTTTAAAACGATTATAATGCACCTTGTCAGTTTCTTTTTGTGGTTTATCTTATGAAAACTTGTAATAAAAAAGCTGTATCCTCTTTGAGTGAATCCTGTTTGCAATTTCCAAGGTTTGCAGCATTGCTAATGTTGCTAGCATGGTAACTTTGGGTGTGATCCCTGGCTACATGGCATACACAGGTTTATAGCTTCTCACTAGTGCCCCTTGAAACAAAGATACTGACAAATTGGGGAACTGCCAATATAGGACTGAATAGCTCAGTTGGTAGAGCACTGGAACGGATTCAAGCCCCAGGTTCAAGCCCTGTTTTAGTGTCAATTTCTTTGTTCAACTTTAAAATTAACTTAGAAAGAAAAAAAACATTCGTCTGTACCTGCATTAGGACTCGTAGTTTCTTGATTTCCAGTCCCACCAGGTCGGTAGCTGAGGAGACCAGACGCACACTGTCAGCCATAATCAAGGTCTGGTCTACATTCTCCTGGGCGAGATGCACGCTGTAGAGATGGGTGAAGAACCCAATGGCCTTGAGGAGAGATTCCTGAGAAGTGGTCTCATCCAACTGTGATGAAAAGGGGAAAAAAGAGGAATTTTTTTAACATCTTAATACTGTTGAAATTTTAAAAGCACCTTTTCAACACACTGAGATATTTTTAATGAAGAGATAAAGAATTTTGCCTTTATTCCAACTCTTCCAAATTTCATAAATTCTCCTTTTGGTCGTGTCATTTTTCAACTTTGACGTACATGGAGCTTGTTATCCCGATTTGTTCAAGTAAAAAGAATGTTCAATCAGGTAAACTGCAGAATGTTGGAGTTTAGTTCATTCAGGGTGAATCTTAATAAAAGGTCTGTGAATAAGGAATAGGGATTAAAAAGAATAGTCAAATTTTACTACAATATATGGGAGCAGGTGAAATGAAGCACCACAAGTAATCGAGTAGTAAAATGAGAAGCATAAACTACTCTCAAGTACTCTGAAGTACTTGTGATACTCACCCAGCATGGTACATGTAGTTTTTGAATGAGCTGAAAAACCACGAGTAGAACGAGTAGCATAAACTACTCACAAGTACCCAAGTACTCCCGATACTCGCCCAGCAGTAATATGGTATATGGTGGAAGTATTTAGACGAGTTGAAAATCCATGAGTAGTTTGAGCAGCATAAGCTACTCACGAGTACTTGAGTATTCGTGTAGTCCCGATTCTCACCTACCAGTAAATGGTAATATTTGGAGGTAGTATTTGGACAAGTTGAAAACCATGAGTTGATTGAGTAGCATAAACTACCGCGAGTACTCGAGAACTTGCGATACTTGCCCAAGCCAAAAAAAAAAATAGTTCTGCTTCCGGTTTCCCTACCTACCCTATTCTGACAGCCCCTACCCAATTTTTTTATTGGAAAAATGAGAAAAAAAACACCCAAAACCATCACTTTATTCCTTTTACCCTTGACTACACGCAGACGCCTCCATACGATCGTACACACACACAAAATTGGCAAAAAAAAAATTCCCTACCTACCTACCCTATATTCGAATGCCATGTAATCGGAAGCAGAACTATTTTTTTTTGGCCCCAGCAGTAATATGGTTGTATCTGGAGGTAGTATTGAGGAGCTTTTCTTTACCTGGTCTTTGCGCATGAGATCAATCAGGTAATCCAGTGCAGTCTCGTGGGGTGACATCTCAGGGTACAGGGTGCCGATCTTACAGAACAGAGCCACATTACAGGATGTCAGTGCTCTGAGGGGTGTAAAAAATACAATAATCAGTCGGTGTAGTGTGCAATTTGGACTCTATGAAATTACAGACTCCTTGGTTGTATTGCGCATGCCTAAGTGAAGATTATTAGGCCAATGACATGTCACGTGTAATGGCTAGAATCAATACAAGGTAAAAGAGACCAGATTTTATAGGTGTCAAAATTTCATATGACACCGGCATTGATATATGCAGAAAGGTCACACTGCTATACCCTGTCACATGCGCAATAGTCAGGCGCCGCTTGTTTCATGTATCTTGAAGATACATGTGTAGGAAATAAGTCAAGTCTCCATGCGAACGGCGACAGTATATTTTCCATTTCCATCACGTTACCACATCAGCTTATTCTACGAACTTGTTAATAGCCATTCTGAATCAATTGAATAGGACCAGCTTGAAAAGGCTGGCCCAATTTCATAGAGCTGCTTAAGCAGAAAATTTGCTTAAGCACGAAAAAACATTGCTTAGTAAAATTAGGTTACCGGCCAAAACTCCATGTGATGTACATTGCTTGTGAATGGTATTTTAGCTGTTGTTTACTTAGCATAACAATCGCATGGAGTTTTGGCTGGTAACCTTTTTTTATTAAGCAAGACATTTTTGTGCTTAAGCAAATTTTGTGCTTAAGCAGCTCTATGAAATTGGCCCCTGGGCTTGTTAGCTCATTAGGCAATAAAAAAAAGTCTCTGGTCTCTGGTATGGAGCTTGCCCCAAAAGGAGAATTTTGTCTGCTAAAGAGTGGGTAAAGTTGGCCTGAATTTGTTTTGCATGTTTTTCAGCTCTCGAGGTCCCAGTCTGGATTCTCCCTATCCCGGGTCCTTTTTCTTATCAAGCCGCAAAAGCCCTTACGTTTGATATTTGTTGAGGATGGCCTGCAGCTGGGATATGATGAAGATGAGGAAGTTGGTGAAGGACAGTTGTTCTCCTTTGTTGTTTCGAAGTACTTCCTCACGATTCATGGTTTCCGGTATCTCAGCCTACGGTACAAAGGCAGGTAAAAAATAATTGGTATTTAATAGTGCATTCACAAAGGATCCTGGTGTATCAAGTAATGTTGTGACATTGCTGTATGACACAAACACAGTCAAGGTGGCCAGTCACATTAGCGGTGGTTCTTCTTCTCCCCTTCCCCCCCCCCCCCCCAACCAACCCAAGACCCCTGCCCCTGCCCCTCAACATTCCAAACCCCATCCCCTGACACCCACCCACCCACCCCCACCCCCCCCCCCCCATCCCCTCCCCAACCCCAAACCTCCCTCCCCAACTCCAACTGGGGTTTTTTTAGGGAAGTTCCCTGTTACAAGGTTAGTCACTCGGTACAAAGGGCTATGTTGCAAAAACAAGTGAAGAACAGACACAAAAGAAACCAAATTTTGCAATTGGGACAACGGATCTGTAAACCTCATTGTTGAAACATCAAAAAGTCAAAATGCCACAAATGCATAAAAGGCTGGATAGCTCAGTTGGCAGAATACCTGCAATGGTACAGGTATATTGCTGGTTTGGTATATTGCTGGTTTGAGCACCAATCTCGTAAAACTTGGTGTGGAAAATGTGGGGGAAAAGTTTAAAGAAATACTGATGTCCTAAAATGAGGTCAAATTACCCTCTCTTTGAGTTGGTTGACAAGGAGGTCTGACTTGGCCAGCATCCTAGAGATCAGCAGAAGGACTTGTACACAGTCGTGATCACCTAGGGGCAAACCACAGTACAATAACGTAAAAGCCGTAGAAACAACCCCAAGTACTGTTGTTACTCTTCAACAAATTCAAATTTTTTTCTCCTAATCATTTCAATCCTTTGAGTATTTTTGTGCCCGAAAAAAAAATGGTTTTATTCTATTTTAGAGCCTACAACCCTCAAAAAACTCAATTCAATATTTCTTTACAATAGGTTTGGCAGATAAATGTTAAAAATTGTGAAAAATTGCGTCCGATGTCATGAACTGAAATTTTGTCAGGCAGCAAACTAATTAAAAGTTTGTATAGTAATTACTCCATAACTAAATGTCTTCTGATTTTTTCTTCAGTCAATGTTCGACCAAAAGTGAATAAGGTTTGTATTGCTAGAAAAATAACAATTTGAAAACAAAATCCACTTTTTGAAATATACATGTATACCGCGAACAGTACATCTGCAATGCCAAAACCACAGGAGGAATGACCCTGTTTTTTGGTAATAAAGTAACCAGTTTTACTGATTGAAAGTTTTTGGTGTGTCAGTCGACATGTTTCGCGAAAATCTTACCTCCACGGCGCAGAAACTGGTCAGGCATGAAGGAGCATAGGTAATCCACATGCTGACTGGCTTGATCAATGCGCAGCTTGTACATGTCAATCTCAACAGCCTAGAAGTGATGAACAGAATCAATGGTAGGTAGGTAAGTAGGTTTATTAGGTAGGTAAGTAGGTTTATTAGGTAGGTAAGTAGGTTTATTAGGTAGGTAAGTAGGTTTATTAGGTAGGTAAGTAGGTTTATTAGGTAGGTAAGTAGGTTTATTCAGTACAACAAATTTTTATTAAAGTTAGTATCCCACATGATTTTTCTTTCAATGTGACTCGAGTCAAGCAGGGTTCCACCTTAACTTTTTTTCACTAGCCAGCAGGGCTACTGAAACAGACTCTTAACTAGCCTGCGGGCATTTTCACTGGCCCGCATGTTTTCCTTTTACAGAGTGTCTCATAAACAACAATGTGCATCCATGTAAAACGTGTATCCTGAGGCAATCTTGTCAGTGTTTTTAATAAACAGATCCAATAATTTAACCCTAAACAGTTATTAAAATTAGACACAAATTGATACAGGTTTGCTTTCTGAATTTAATGATTTATTTCTTCCTGTCCTTTCATCATTGCCGTATCTCAATAATTTCTGTCTCGCCAGCTGGGCTACTTAAGGAATAGTTTGACTAGCCAGCCGCTGTTTTGACTGGCATTTGGCTAGCGGGCCACCACTAAAGTCAAACCCTGGGCCCAATTTCATAGCGCTGCTTAACAGCCGACTTTGTGCTTACCGAGCGTCCATCTATTTCATAGGGACCGTTAAGCAGTAAGCACAGCAAAAGCACGCTTAACTCCAGAAGAAAACTTTGCTTAAATCAGTGACGTAACAATAGAAATCTCAATGCGCGCGCAACCGTTAGCATGAAATAGTACTTAAGCAGCAGCATGATTTTCTGCTATAGTAAGCACAACTTTTCTGCTTACTGTTAAGCAGTGCCAAGTCACCGAAACTCAAGACGGACTCGAGTCCAAGACCTGGATTTTATTAGTCCTTCCAACACTGCCTTTATGATATGCATCAGTCAAACCTTCCACACTCTTTATAATGCTCCACACAACTCATGGAAATTTCCAAAATATATATGGTAATTCGGCAAACAAAGTAAGAAGCCATTTTCGGGGTGGAGCCAAGTTCGCGTGCATGCTGCACGCGTTTTTAAAGACAAGGCATGCATGCATTTTGGTAACCCTTTACACGAATTTCAAATCGGAACTGGAGCCAAGGGCCGCAGTGCTGTCTTTTGTTGAGAGGTTTAAAAAGAGAAACGGTCCTTAATTCACACAATGGCTTAGCGCTGAAAGCTTCAGTTTCAATGCTAATTTGAAATTTATTGGTCGAAGGAGCCCAGAGTGCATGCGTGCTACCCGAGTGCGAGCCTGGTTCTACCTCAAAAATGGCGTCTAGTTTGGCTTGCCGAATTAGTCTGTACACTGGACCCGTCGATGGCTCCTCAAGAAAAGCCCCCAACAAATATCCCACGCTGTGTTACATGGTAAGGTGTTTACTATTTCCCCTACCTTTGCCTGAGCCTTGGTCTCCAGGAATTTGGCCTTGAAGTCAAAGGTGGGCATGTCAGCCTGGGAGTCCTGCGATAAAGCTGCATTCTGCTGTTGGCTGAGTAGCTCACGATTCTTCTCCTGAGAAGACAAACGAAAAAAGAGGAAATTTACGTCTCAACTACTGTTCCTTCAAATTTTGGAAAATCACCTGAATGTAAATCAATTTCATAACAACATTGTGATATGAACAGTAAATTGTCCCCTGATTACCAGCTAAATGCCATGTGACGTGTATTGCATCTAACTGGTTGTCACTCCATTTTGCTCAGCGAGTGAATTTGCTGGAGCTTTTTCCTGCTCCAGGGAAGTTGAAGTCCAGACTTACCTGAAGCGAGGCGGTCAGTTGGCGGAATTTGGAGATGGTCTCCTGGTTGTCGGAGGCCGCTTCTTTCATGGCCTCCATCCGGCGCTGGTACTCCGCCACCTTGCTGCGCTGCATGTCCGCCTCCTCGCGCAGTTCCAGCTCTGTCTCGCGGGCGTTCTCCTGCAGCTCCTCATTCATCTCGTTTAGCGATTCCTAAAGGTCAAAGGTCACAGAGAAAGGTCAAAACTCACAGACAAATGGTGTTTATTAGGAGTTGTTGAAACTACAGCTTCATTTCCAGGTTTGGTTTCATCTATTACAGAGAAGTGTCAAAGGTAAAAAAGTCAAAGGTCTGAGAGGATGAGTTTAAAGGTATTTTCGAAATCTCGGATTCTACTGTGGCTTTGGCTCCTTCACTCATTTCTATAACAGGGTAAGGTCAAAGGCCAGAAAAGTCAAAGTAAATGAGTAAATGAGTTGAAGGAGGTTGTTGAAACCTTGGCTTCAGCTGTGGATCTATCACTCATCTGTATTTAGAAGTCTTTAACCAGTTAATGCCGGAGGATGTGTAAACACGATCTGGCAATGGATATTCACAGGGGCGGGTGATTGGTTAAAATCGTCGAGCTTTCCCCTAGACTCCGGTGGTGGACATGTATACACGTCAGTGGTTCCTATTGGTTTTGTAAAACACCGTGTGTTGAACTTGAATTTGGCTACTGTACACGGCCCTTCGTCGCAGCAAATATCGCTCCGTGACAGGGCCTCGGAGTATTGTAAAATATGAGGTTACGGTAAGAAGTATCGTACAAATTAAAAAATGATTCTTGAGAGTCAGTATTTGTGGTGTTTGACTTGATTTTAAAACTTTAAAAATATATTTTGTCTTTTTCAATAATGGTTTTTTTGGCAAAACATAATCCAATTATCAAGTGGTTAATCTTAAAACCAAATCGAAAGCTCTGAACTCTGGCCTTTTATTATAGAATTCAATGTTCCTAAAGCTGAAATTGTACCCATATTTGAGACGGAATCCCCAAAGTCAGGGGGCGAAAGTCAAAGTCAGAGGTGAACCCCAGATTTCAAACTTTCCTTAAGGCTCCAATTTGCAATATTTTCATTTCTTCACATCCACACGTGTAGTCTTTTCTTTTGGTTATTTTAACAAAGATCTCTTTTTCTGCAGAACTTGTTCTATTGTGAAAGCTAAAATGTGAACGGCCTACCAGATCTGCGACCGTTGTCTGTAACTCCTGGAGTTGCTCCTCGAGTTCGAGGTTTTTGTCGGTCAAAGTCTCCACCATACCCTCCGCCCCAAGAGCGGCGTCCACCTAACGAGAACATTAATAATGTTAACAAAAATGTGACACTGATAAAGTGCTAAGTATCTTCAAATGCATCATCATATTACCCTGTTTACTAAGAAATAAGTGTAATCCGTTTTGTCAATTCAGTTACCAATCAATACCTTTGGGTGGAAAGGGGCAATTGTGGTACAGCGTCTTGCCCAAGAACACAAGCATCATGATCCCTGTTTGGGCTTGAACCCTAATGGGCTCCTTGCACAATCAAGAGAGGGCGTTTTTCAACCAATTTTGAGAGAGCCCTGTGGACGAGACACACCGTGTGCACGTATTGGTTTGCAAGCGTATAATGCAAAGCCATAACGTCTTCGCATGAGCGACAGGGGTCGTTGGCAATGCCTTTCAATGTCTCTCCCAGTGGTTTCCCTTTCTAACGGTTGAGGGGTACTTGTATACGGAGTCCATGATGTTGCCACAAAAGTTGGCCATTTTATCCCTTAGACCAAGATATTCTTACAAACATGAGAACAAGAACACAGCTTCAGGCCCGGGTCCAAAGCGCTCTATTAACAATGATGAAATAAGATCATCTGACAGCCAACATCACAGGGGAAAAACCAAAAACGGAGTACCTTTCAATATTGTACCTTTCAAGTGTGGTGTGAATTTAGCTATAATTTACATTGATAAAATATCGAAATTAACTCCAAAAATAAAACGAACAAAAAATCTTTTTACCAAAGGGTAATTACAGAACTACTTAATAATGGATTGCTTGTGTGGAAATGTAGCTACCGGTACTTACTTGCTCTTTTAATTCAATGATTTGATTCTCAGCTTCCTGTGAAAAAAGAAGAAAAAGTAGATTTTGTTATTGTGTTTTATTTATGACGGAAACAAGTAACTTTCACAAGTCCAAAACAACTATGTGACATAGTCATAGAATTGTAAATGGAGTTAATCAAATGCATTAGCCTTTTACCAGATGTAAGCCTTTAACATCTCCGTCTAGGTCCCATAATCACTCAACAGGTAACTATGATCCTGCATCCAAAAGTCACAGGCACCCGCCTTTATTTCAACCCAACCTCAATTCATCTGTGTCTAGTCACCAACCTCCCCTTTGAGATCAACCATAAAGCTGCACATTAAAATTTCAGGCACCAGTCTCTACTGATCAGGTTGTTAACCTCAGCCATCTTGGTCTAGTTCTCTGTTTCCTCCAATGTAATCTTCCATACCTTCAGAGCTTTATTGGCGCTTTCCTTTTGCGCTTTGGATTCCTTGAGTTCCGCTACTATCTTGTCCTTGTCCTTCAGGGCTTTCTGGTGCTCGTGTTTCTCGGCGTTGGACAAATCTCGCAACCTTTGAGGGGTCAAATTAATAGATTTAAGATTGTGACAGGAAAGGGGACCTGAATGCGGGACCACTCGAATCCAGAGTGTTACCATCTTGGCTCTTGGCAGCAACACTGGAGATTTTAGTCTTACTTCAATGTTCCAACATTAAAGGGTTCAGGAAAGTAATTTTACACTGGAACATATGTGATGTGATCAGGCTACATGAGTCGTTTGTCGACCATGGTCAAAACATTTTTATAACAGATTTGAAAAGAACACAATTTCAGCATTACTTCTGTGAAAACCGCATGCTGATACCATCTTTAGTTAAAAAAATTATGGAAGTTGGAACACCAAGAGATGTGATGAAGTGATGTGACGGAGTGGCCCTATTTTGGCCTGTATCTCCAAATAAATATTCCCGACAAACGACTCATTTAGCTTGATCCCACCACATCTATTTCTCTGAAATGTACAAAAACTATGAGACATCCCTTTCTGGTGCATTTCTTTGAAACATTTAAATTTGTTCATGCTTTTCCTGACAACTGAGGGCAGTGTTGCTGTGATGTCACTTTAGGCACACATTTTTCGGATAAGGTTTTAAACATATGGGCAGAAACTGTTCATGTACTGAAACAACAAAGAATCACTGAAAAATCTGCACTAACAGTTTGCACAATTCAAAAATTCGCAAGGAAATATGCATGTTTATATCCCATAAGTAAGGATTCTGTGCTTACAGGATTATTGAAATTATTGTGCCAACTCTGTAAGCACCGAATGATAATCATAACTTTAGATTTCTGTGGTTAGCAGAACCATAGTATTCTTTTAAAAACTGAAGTGAGCGGTGTTCCGAATGAAGTGAAGAGAACAGAGCTCGAATCCTTCAAGTTTTTCATTTACTCTCTCATAGCACTTCTTACTTACTTGACCAATGCCTCCTTAAGCCGTGCATTCTGCTGCTCCATCTGCTTCATCTGGTAGCTAGCTGAGGCACCGTCTGTTCCTGTGAACGAAAGACAAATGAAATGAGAAATATTCAGAAAGAAAAACATAGCTTTTGTTCTCAGCGTACACGAGTGAAAAGTTGAGAGATATAACATGCCACACCAAATGTATTACTCACAATTGGCCTGCACCCCATTTCATTTACATTGTAACTCATTGTAACTTACGATGCATCCCGGTGCTGCCATGTATCGTATCCCTACGATGCCTTGCAGCTGCAACACATCATGCGATACATTTCCCAAAACCTGATTTCCCGCAATAGTCCGGTTCACAATGTACTTAATCCAACTTTTGTTGAGATTTTTTGGGGATTAGGTAAACTATACATTTTTGGAAACCTTAGGGTCTACTGAACACAAAAACCAATGTTTCCATTTTTTTCCAAGGACATCTTGGCCGCCATCTTGGAAGAACTGCAATGCGTCGTAGGTGTATTTATAGCACAACACGGTGACTGTTATATGTATTTATTCTACGCACAGTAAATAGTCGTCTGACATTCAGCAAAGAGTTGTCGGAACTCCTCTACAAAAGTTTTTAAAATGTAAAAACAAAATGGTGGTCACACATGTACGATGCGGTTTTAAACTTAAAAAGCAAATAAAAATAAGCTCGCAGTGGACTGTTAGCTACAATGTACTTCAACTGCAATATTGTGCGCTAATTGATATGTATATCCTATTTACAATTTTATAGATATTTTTTCGGTATTATACTTTTATAGTCGTGTTTATTTATTTTCATGGCATATTTATTTTCAAGAAAAGACCCTTTTTATTGTGCGATGACCAAAAGACGTTGGAACTTCGGACATGGTTTAAACCATAGTCAAGGAACTTACGATGCATTCAATGCATCATAAGTTCTGAGAAATGGATCATACGATGCGTTGCAACTTGCAACGTATCGCAGCGCTTCATAAAATCGGGTGCAGAGCTTGCAGAGAATTGGGTGCAGAGCATTAGTGTGAAAACCAATTCCCCAAACCCTTCTCCAGAACTTTATGATTCTCACCTCCCTGTTCGATCTCTCCTCTAAGCAGCTCAAGGTCAAGGGTCAACTCCTCAACTCTCTCCTTCAGAGTGTCTACCTCTGCTTGCAGTGAATCGCACTGTAAAACAGACGAACATTGCATGAAAAATGAGACAAAATTGGAGCCATTATGACCACGATGATAAACAAATGAGTGGTGCACAATACAGGTTTAGGTCAGGTCTGGTTTCAAGGATTGACTTGTGATGACTTGTGTTTTCTTGTGATTACTTGGAATGTCTTGTGAAGGCTTGTGATTCCTTATATTACTTGTGATTACTTGTGATGGCTTAAGATTGCTTATGATGGCTTATGATGACTTGTGGCGGCTTGTAATTACTTCAGGTGGCTTATGACTTAAAAATGTGTTGCTGTTCAATTCTCACCTTTTCTTATTTGTGGATACTTGTGATTATTTGTGATTACTTGTGATTCCTTGTGATTACTTGTGATTACTTGTGACTACTTCTGATACAAGTGGTGGCTTGTGATGCTTGTGATGGCTTGTGATGACTTGTGGTGGCTTGCAATTACTTCAGGTAGCTTATGACTTGATCACAACTGTTGCTGTTCGATTCTCACCCTTTCGTCAACCACTTTCTTGTCAAGTGTGATTATTTGCGATTACTTATGATAACTTGTGATGTCTTGTGATGACAGTGATGGCTTGTGATGACTTGTGATGGCTTGTGATTACTTGTGATGACTTTTGTTGACTTGTGATGGCTTGTGATGACTTGTGATTACTTGTGATGACTTTTGTTGACTTGTGATGACTTTTGTTGACTAGTGATGGCTTGTGATGACTTGTGATTACTTGTGATGACTTTTGTTGACTTGTGATGGCTTGTGATGACTTGAAGTGGCTTGTAATTACCTAAGTTGGCTTATGAATTGATTACAACTGTGTTGCTGTCTGGTTCTCACCTTTTCTTCAGCCATTTCCTTGTCCAGCGTTGCCATCTCAATTGTCTCTGCCACTTCTGACATCTCCTCTTGATAGCGCTCCCGGGCGTCAGTTGCCTCACGAGCTTCCTACAGCACCACAACAAAACAATTACAAACTTCCATGAATAAAGAACAGTAGTCATTTTCACTTGACATATCTGAGTGAATTACAGGCAGCTGGAGTGACAACATGATGACTTTGGCTGATACCTGAAAGAAGAAGGGGCTATCCCCAAACTGGTCTCCCACTTACATTGTACATATTTTTTGTATAAAATCTTTTCAACCAACTTTTTTATCATTGCGCCTTAATTAAAAAAAATAAAAATACCAACTGTTCTTAAGGGATGTGAAATATTTTGAACCCAGGGTGACATAACATGGTACCTTTTTGTCAATCGTGATGGAGAAAATGTTCATTCACTGACCGTAGCGTGAATAATTAATGATGATGAGTACATGAAATGTCTTAACATGTGCATGCACACCACATTTGAATAAAATCTATCAATGTACAAAAGAGAACTGAAGAGAGGATAGACTCCACCCCCCGACAGTGGTCCAATAGTTACGGGGTTCAACTCATGTACTGTAGTGTGGGTTCAAACCCTGATGGGGAACAAGGTGCTTGTGTTCTTGGGAAAGATACTTTACTACAATTGCCTCTCTCCACCCAGGAGTATATATGGGTATCTGTGAAGGTAGAGATCAAGTGCGCTGATCTCGAGCTGCTGCAGAGAAAAACAATCGTCATGGCCTGATGAACAGGGGTAGTAATTTGTGGAGTGCTTTGAGAACTTTGCTATAAACGATGTATTTATAGCACCACATCAAACCGGTAAAAAAACGAACCCAACTGGGTTAGGGCGAAATGATTTTGAGGACTAACTTTCTTGGCTTCCTGAAGCTGCCTCTCCTGATCGTTCTTCGATTCAATCATTCTGGCTTTGAATTCGGCCAACTGCAAAGAGAACAAGCACACAGGACTGTTTTGAAGAAAAAAAGGGATTTACAATATGCCTACACATCTTAGGAAGTTATAGCTTAACCAGTTCTTGCCGGAGGCCGTGTATACACGCATCAGAACGGATGACATATAAACACGCAGGGAGCAAGGCCGGAAATATCTGTCAGCGACCCGCTCCCATCCAGCGAGGCCGGAAAAAAGAGTTTGCTGCCCGAGGGTGATGGCTTCAAACCGCCTGGCTTGAAGTCGAGTGAAAAGTAATCCCGGGCCTCGTTCCGTTCTTGTCAAAATAATCCTGGCTGGTTAAGCTTGGTCTATATTTCAATAATACGATATAGTGACGATATTGTTTGGATAGTAACACATGGTACTAGACACACATACACCAAACTGGCGAAAACATTTCCCTCCTGGATTACTGTCAAATTCCCCGAGTTTTTCCTTGTTTTTGGTGTTTTCCTCGAATTCCCCGAGTTTTCCCTGACTAGAAAATGGAAACTTATTTTCAGGGTTTCCCTGAGCGGCTGGGAATCCCGGTTTAAAATCTTGGGAAGCTCATCTAGTCTATCAGTACCTGAGCCATTTGAATTTTCATCTTCTCGGCATCCTTGAGTCTCAACTTGTCCTCGGCCCTCTTGATCCTCAGCGTCTCCAACTTCTCCTTCAGATCCTGCACCTCAAGTTTCAAGGCGCCCACCTACAAATCACATCAGATGTTCAAGTTGATTGTGAATAACACATGGATTTATTGCATGATAAACCCGAAGACATTCAACCAAAGTCAGAAGCTTTTTATCTGTATCAATATTTAACATTTAACCCATTTAACCAATTAGCACCTGTACTACATTGTATCACATTGTATTTATTCACTGAAGAATCCATAAAATCATGGAGTGCTCAGGCGGTTTTGGGCGCTACCATGAAAAATAGGCAGGGCGGTTTTGGGCGGTATAGTGAATAATGGGTTAATACTGATATCCAAAAAAAAATTCTTCTTGATAACATTTACAAATACAGTAGAACAATGCAAAAACTAATACCGCTTGACTGAGCATTTGACTTTACATCACCAATCGACTCCGAATCACTTTGACCTTTAGACAACCTGATGGAATTTTGTACACAAAGTATTGTTTGTCTCAGATTGTGCGCATTCCGCATCCATTCGTATATCATGAAATTGGACAACATTTCACAAGCTGCGTTGATGCGATTCTACCATGATAGGTTAATTGCGAGACAGACCTTCATATGACTATCTTTCAATTCTTATTATTTGTAGTATTTACAAAACTGAAATTATAAAGATGGATCATAAGAACACAGACAAAAGATTAACGATTCCCAACTCAAAACAAATCAGCCAAGTCAGATGCTAACTTGACCCTTGAACCCTGCGAGATCCCTTAAAAATCTACAAGGCTGCCATTGTTAACAAATTTTTGTAGGAATGAGGAAGGTAGAGCACAGCCGCTACGACTTAAAATGGGGCTCTTGATACTTCATTTCGGGCTCCGTGTTTATCTCTAGCTCAAGAAACATTCTTAGAAGCTTTAAAGGCATATAAGATCATTTGCATTTATCCCAAAAGTAACATAGCAAATTATCAAAAAGTTTATTTGGATTCAAGACCGTACTGGCGGGTCATTCTAAATATTGTTTTGGTTTTTTGTGATTTTGTAAAATTCAGAACACGTTCTTTAATGCCTTCTACCTCCAAGAGTGATTATGTAATGCAAAGTACATGCTAAACAAACAGGAAATAGTTTGAAGTCAATTTCAATGATATTTCCGTGTCAAATTACACGCAAGTCAGGGTGTAACAGGGACACCAAAATGTCACATTTTTTGACCCCAAATTCATAGAATGACCCTGGTACTAAACACCCAGTGAAATTATTTCATCCAGCTCACTGTCGTATAGAAGAAATCAAGAAATGTAGGTGATTTCCAACGGTCGATCAATTGACTGATTTTCATGTTTTGTGATTAAAAGATTGTGCATGGTCTTTCCCTGTTTTCTCGTAAAGTGGCTGAGCTGAAAATTCTACAGGTTAGGTTTTGAACACTCTTCTTTGGATTTTGAGCGTTGTTATTAATGGAAACGAACAAAATGCATGAAAAGCAAATGATCCTACAGGCCGTTACTATTGCAACTACGTGCAAATAGACATACTATGAATTTTGGCCTCGTCTTAAACATGTTAAAGGATTTTCTGTTAAGTTCAACATGGACATATACTGAGTCGGAGTTTACATGGGGCTTAACATCTCCTGGAGCTGAAGTTGGAGACAACGCCAAGTTTTTGAAAATAAACCTTGAATACGGAGTAGGTCAGAGGAAATCTTGTTACCTGCTCCGAGCTCTGTGAGCCATCACCGCTGGCCGGTTTGCTGGATGCTGACAGCTGAGGGAGGCGCGAGGTGGGGGCAAAAGAGGGGTCTGGGACTGGGCTCTCTACGCGGGGCTGGGGGAGGGGGGATTTTGGGGGAGAAGAAAACAAGATATGCATTAGAATATGGGGATATGTCATCTTTAGGAGATGATGAGTCATTAAACCATGGTCACCTGGCAACACAGAATTGCATTGGTTACGCATCATATGCAATACATGAGTGCTTTCAATCATGTGGCAAGAGGAAAAACGGCCGACCAAAGAATCTACATCTGACCGATGGATACAACAATAAATGAAGGGTGGAGTGATTTAATCAAAAGCAAGAGCCTCTTCCATGATAACTTCCATGAAGAAAAAAATATGAAAACTGGCCATGGCGGTGGACTTCAAATTCAGTGTAGGCTGTGAATAAGGAACCTCAATGTTGTTTGATTTTGCAAAGAACTGACTAGGTTTACAAAATTGACTATGTTCACTTTAAATAAATATAAAGTCGAACAAAAAAAATTGACTGGAAAGGGAATTGAACCCATGACCATAGGAATCCCATACTAGTGCTCTACTGAGCTATCCATCCCTTTGACTACATCTTCGTTGGAAGGGGGCTAGTCAGAAGCCATAAGCATCTATGTCTGTCGTTGCCAGGAATGTTCTTATCGTCAGCAACATTACCAATACTGCAAACCTTGCAAACGGCAATTGGGGAGTGTCAGTACGGTATTCCCTCTTCCATAGAGCTATGTTAAATTACTAGAGTGCTGGCTCCTTATACTATGGGCTCCGTGCACAAGTACCCCTTCAACGGCCAGAAAAGGAGAGTTGGTGGAGACCAAGACTTGTTCTCGGTTCATCCACTGCGTATTTCGAACGATCCAAAGTTATTGGGGGCGGGGATTAGTCTGGGAGACAATCGCAAGTTAAATTCGAACGTATTCTCGCGCCGACGATGCCTGACGCTCACGCGCAAAGACGCTATGGCTTAGCTTTGTGCACATTCTGAATAAGTCGTGCGTACTTCGCGCGCAAACCAGTAGTACAGTACGCACACGCGATGTCCCGTCCAAGGGGCTCTCAAAAGTGGTTAAACCACGCCCTCTTTTGTTGGCGCACGGAGCCCATTACATGTTGTATATCTGTTAAAGTGTCCCAGGTGCAGACATTTTTAATTCATGTGCGTGCCAGTAGAATATACTGAAATTACATGGAACTGAATTTGCATAGTGTGCTCTAAATGCAACGCGTCATGCAGTACAGCAAGTGGGTGTGGCCAGCATGGGTGTGCTATTAACAAAAAATAATCAGTACGACGCATATGTGAGAAGTGTGTGTTGGTGTCGGCACGGAGCAAATCAAAAATTTACTGATTAAGCATTTCAATTTTGGACGATTCGGTTTCGATAACGCACCTTTGTAAATGCAGTTAATGTAAAAAAACGTTCAAAAGCCGTACACAATTTCAAGCTTTCCATGGGTCTGTGCCCAAACATGGATGCGCCCAATAGGCTACAGTGCGTATGGCGACTATCAATTTAATATAGCTATATGGGTATTCCAAAGGTCTAATTAGGTTCAAATCTTACTCCAGTCAATATCTGTGTTCAATCTTACACTGCTCATTGAATTTACACAGCCAAAAAAACAAAAACTTAATATATAATAATAAAATAACCAGCAAACAGCAAAGATAAACTTCGGCTTGATGTGAAAGACAATCACAATATTGTGCAGCTTTTTTCGATTTTGTAAATGTACAATGGAAAAACATTTGCTGGTACGTGACATGCAATGGCAAATTTAGCGGGTTTTTCCCCTTCTCCTTTTTAAAGTTTTTGTTAAAACCTTGCTCATTCATCAATAATGTGCACATTCATTCTTTTGATCATCAAGATGCAAAAAAAAAAACCCCGTAATTTTTTTTTCTTATTCATACTTTTATTTCTACCCTACATGTACAACAAACAAGACAACGACATTTATACGTTCATCACCAGTCTAGATTAGAAGTAATATGACTTAAAACTCACATTAAATTTTCCATTACAGAATGCGGTAAAATGTTACCATTTCAGTCCCTTAGTTACAAGTTAATCATCAGTAACCATTTTTTTATGAGATAGAATTACTCCGATGTATGTTTCCCGTAATATAACCTCATTTTTACAATTTGTGAAAATCTACAATTTTCCACAATCTTTGCCATGCACAAGTGTTAATATTTATAAATTCAGTTATAAGTACTTATTAAATATTCATATTTCTTTCTCCCAAAAGCTAATGTGTCCATCCCAAATACTGACCATGAATGTTAATGTTACTTAACCATCCTATGCAAACATGCATTCTGTGCCAAGTTGTCCTTTCAGTCAAAATCAATCAAGTGACTGTTTTTCAACAGCCTACATAATTCTGATTGACTGGCTGTGACTGTTTATGTAACATGATTGCTTTGACTGTAGGTGATTGATTAGCCAGCTGTGCTTAACAACTTGTCTGCTTTTGTCTGTTGCCTGAATTTGACTAGTCACAGTGCTTGCTTAAAATATGATCTGACTCTTGGTGACTAGCCTGTGTAAAAGGCATACGACAGGGGAAGAGGATTGATTTTTTTTTTACTGTTGGTGACTGTTCAGATAGCTTGAGGGTTAAAAAACTTAAAAGTAAGCACATGTTAAGAATATAGGGAAAATATATATTTGTAGTAACAAATGCTGCAATGTCAAATCAAAATTAAACGAAACATTATTACAGAATGAAAAAGGTCAATTTGTTGACCTCCCCAGATTTTCTAGATTTCCGTTCAAAGAAGTTCAAGTTTCAACAGTTAATCCTGTTTAAAAAAGAAACTTACAAAATATGAGCAAAGAACAAAGAGTTATTATTTGCGAGTGAACCAAAAAAAAGCATGCAGCAAATTTTCATCTTCCAACAATGGATAAAATAGCCAGCATTAAAAAAATTGACAAAAGAAAACCCGACAAATTCCAAACATGAAAGGCCCAAAATGATCATGATCGCATTACCATGGATTCTGAAATCTTTTAAATAAATTTGGGGAAAAGCAGATGAAAAATACCAAAAATAAACTAATTCCGAAACACGACTTTTTTTCCATCTTTGGTATTTTTTCATTTGACAAAGTCCACAAAGAACTATCTTGCACTAAAAGCTTTTACTAAAACTTTCATTCTGTGGGAAATCCGGGAATGACGATAATAAAAAAAAAAAAATTACAAATTTCTCATGTAGATCGTGTAAATACATGTACATGTATAAATACACATTTTCATGTACATGTAATAGTATTGTTGACAAGAACTCTATTGTGTAGACCAGGGGCCAATTTCACGGCGATGCTAAGCACAAAAATTTGCTTAGCACAAAAAAAGACTGGCTTATAAAAGCAGGTTACCAGCTAAAACTCTACATGATGTATATTGCTCGTGATTAGCATTCAGCTGTTGTTTGCTTAGCATAAAAATCACATGGAGTTTTGGTTGATAACCTGCTTTTATAAGCTAGACTTTTTTGTGCTAAGCAAATTTTTGTGCTTAGCAGCGCCGTGAATTTGGTCACAGATGCATTTAATAAAAGGCTTAACATGAACAGCCATTCGGAATCAATTAATTGATTTAACCCTCTCTCTCTCTGGCTGGCAATTTCAACAAGGCCAGCCCAGCAGTCAAAATAAATCAAGTGACTGTTTTTTACAGTGGAGTGCTCCCTGCCTTCATAAAGCAGGATTAACTGGCTGTGATAGTTATGAAACCTGATCAAGCTATGCTTTAACTGTAGGAGATTGATAAGCCAGCTGTGTTCCTACCAGTCGCCTGCTTTTGTCAGTTGATGGAATTTGACTGTCACAGTGCCTACAAGAAATATGATTGACTGTTGGTGACTAGCCTGTGTAAAAGGCATGGCAGGGAACAGGATTGATTTTTTGACTGTCTGTGACTGATCAAACAAACGGAGGGTTACATTTTTAAAATGCACCTTGGGACCAGCTCTTCTAGGTTTTTCTTGTCTTGTTAAAAGGTTAATTAACATAAAATCAACTGTTAGCCTTGATTTCTCGTACAACATTGGAACATAAAAAAGGTAACAAAAAATGAAATGAAAATGCCTTGAAATGCATGCAAATGCAAGCAGGAAAACTGTGGCAACGGTTGGGACTCACTCTAGACAAACTTTCGGTGGATCGTCGTGCAGGAGAGAATTTGGCTAAACGACGGACAGACAACGGCTGGAAGAATAAGAGTGTTTAGGAATGGAAATATATGTACACCACTAACACACACATGGAGACAATGAACCATATACCATAATATGGAATGAGTACGTGCTTTCAGGTATGGGGACATGAACATGCATTGTCGTAATTTGTACGATTCACAGAACATGTGTCTTGCAATGTAGATTTGACCGCCTTCACATTTGGGAAACAACATGCTTATCTCTCAAATGCAACAGTATACATTCTAGCCGCCAAATGCTCGCATGTTGAACCTTTGTCAGAGTAGTCATGGCTGTCATTAGCCACAGCATAATAGGGATGAGCTTAAAGCTACAGTCCATCATTTGCAGCTATCCAAAAAGTAACTGACGTAATTATTGTTGAAAAGCATACTTGGTTTATAGATAGTAATGGGACTAAACTCCCTATGAAATTATTCTTTCTGGCATGCTGTCATTTTGAATAAAACAATGAAAGAATTTCCAACGATGCGTCTAAAGACGCATTCTTGGAAATACGGTTTGGGTTCGGTTCGGAAGGCCAAGTTCTATTTTTAGTTCAGTTCGGCGGTTCGGCTGCGGCACTATCTCAGACGCAGAATTCAGGCCCAATTCAAAACATGACTCAGCAACTTTTGATTTGAAATCAAGATCTTAGAATATTGTTTTCTCAAAATATGCAGCATTCACTGAGCTGAAACTTCATCAGTTTAGTTGTTCAGCACCCTTCTTTAGATTTTGAGCACTTTTGTTGCTTCAAACGAACATAATTCACAAATTAAAAATGATGGACGCTACCTTTAACGGATCGGTCTCTTACAAAGACATTACCACCGTGCCCAACTCAAATGAATTGAGCTCTACAATAGCCGAACTTAATAGTCAAACTTAATTAATGCATCTACCATTAGGGTAGCTTGCCAGGTTGAATATAACATTCAAGCAGTTCAATGAACTTTCAGTGTGACAAAATATTCCTGCCAATTTCACTCCCTGTCATGTGCACACGAGCGAGGTTATTGTGAGCATACGCTGCTTGCCTCAACTTTGATTTGAACTGAGTTCGGTACGGCAATAGCACGGTGGTTTGATCAGTGTCGTACCACAGCTATTTGGAATAAGATTTGTCGAGCCAAAACGGCACTAAATGCCATGCCATTGACTTGCCGATTCGAGAAAAATTCAACTATTTGAGTTATCACGGCAGCAGCATGGTGTTTAGAACAGGCCTGAGGTGGTTCCATGCTCATCTGCATGTTGCATACATGTATGCCCAATCATTGCTCTTTCGACAGAATCTGTTTACAATGCATAAAAAAATTCACATACATTGTACACACCTCAAAATTTAAGGACTTTAAGGCCAAAAAAAAATAAATATTCGTTCTCTGGTCAGACCAAAGTTCCGGAATTGACGCGGCCACGCAGCTTTTTTTTTTTTTTTTGCTTTTTTTTTTTTTCTTCAAGCTTGGATTGTACAGACAAGGTGGGGTACTATTTTGCTTTTTTGGTGTCCTCATGTACATTGGTGTCCTCCATAATTTGCCTTGGTGCTTTCGATCATTTGCCTTGGTGCAATTTCCCATTCCTTGGTGCTCTTTGGTAAAAAAAAATTGAGGAGGTGCGGAAATAGAGGGCGCTGTTGGAGCTACCGCAGAACATTTTGGAAAAAAAAAAGATCGACGTGCATGATTAAAATCAACGCGCGCCAGAGACCGACTTATTTTTTTTTTGGCCTAATCAAGGTTTTTCTCAGTCCCCAAGCACAGTGAAATGTAGTTTGCATTTAGCCTGAGTGCCAAAACTTTAGTGACTACATCAAAGTACTTAATCCAATCTGAGGGCCAAGACTTTAGTGATTTCAATGAGTAAGAATATGGACGTTTGAACACTTAGTCTGACACTAGTATGCACTATAATACAGAAGGACCCAGACTTGGACTACAAATGGGTACCAACTACCAAGCCATGCAAGCACACTTGTTGTAGTACTCTCAACTAATTACTAACATTTAAAGTACATCCCAAAAAGGACAACCATGACAATGGTGTGCAAAGCAGGTACAAAGATCATGCGCTGTGACAGATATGGACTCGTTGCGGGGAAATCTGCTGGGAAGTCGTGCAGGACAGAATAACTCACTTTCTCAGCGGGCGCTGTCGGCTCGCTGGGTTTTTGCGATGGGCTCGGGGGCTGTTTCTTCCCAGACGGCGATGACTGTAGTGCAATAATTCATTAGCTTGTCCTTATTTTCAATTTTTTTCTTCCAATCAAATGAATAGGCCTACATTTTTTTACCATACAAATGATTATCTCACATAGTCTGTCTAGGTTTTCGTACAAAAACATGTCATCCCATGCATACGAGAGTCTGTAATCGTTCGATTATGCATAAGTAATTGACTTGAATATGCATAAGAACTTTCCGGAGAGCTGTGGAGCACAATTTGTTAAGCACCGAAGTGTGTTGGTAGTAAGAATGTGACGATTAAACGTTTTAACGAATAAAACTCTTTATCCATTAACAAATTTCGAAGACGTTTAAGCGAAACCCAATTTATAAAATTTCTTTCGAGTTAAACTTACACTGCACAAATATTTATCGATGTTTTGGAACCCATTTAATTTACAAAAGCTTAGAAGCACTGCAGTATTTGATTTGACTTGGGGTATACGTATTAAAGTTGTCACATTTTTAATGACTGCCCGCTATTTATTACGTCAATCCTTGTTGATTTATCATGTCAATCACGTCAGTCTACGACTGCAGACATAATGGGCAGACATCATCCTTTGTGAAATGGGGCTAAACGTTGAAACGTTTAAACAGTTCTTAAAATAGTGTTTAAACATTAACAAAATGAAACGCAAAGCCACATCCTTCGATGGAAAAATGGCTGGGAAGGGTTACCAGCCAACTTGTTGATCATTGCATTGGCCTGTAACTGGTTCTCTGCTTGTGTATTACAACCCTGCTTAAAACAAAATTATTGCCTACTACTTCAGTTACCCTACCTCACATTTCAGCTCAAGATAAAGACAGCTTACACAAATTAATTAATAAAATTCAATAACAATATGCAAAACAAAAGATTTATGAATCACATTGTGTCAGTGCCAGAGTTATCATGACAAGCCGTTTATACTGGGCAACATGACGTAAATGCATATCAGACGTCTCAAAAGAGTGTCCCTGTTTTCTTGAAAGTAGGACCGAGGTGTTTCTCTGAGTTTTTCAACAAGTGCTCAATGTGGAGTCGAGCCTCGGACACTCACAATCACAGTTTTTGCCTGCCGTGACACCCTGCTAAGCTTCTTAACTCCAATGAGAACACCAAGAGCATACGATTCACAGATCGATCAGTAAATTTAGTCCACGATTACTAAACTTATAATTGATCAAATCACAAGTCAATCAAAAGTGAAATTACAGGTCCACTAACAAGTCCGGCTGCAAGTAAAGGTTATAAACCACGTCAAAGGAATAGAGAGGTTTCACAAGTGAATGGATATGATTAGCGCGCCAGATATGTCGTCAGTTTGTGCGGTCTTGTGACGCCATACGCAACTCACTATCCGTTACGCAGTACTCGGCATGAATATGTCGTGGGCTACATGTCAGTGTGAAACGCATAGTAAATTGTCGATTTTCGCTCCATTTTCTGATAAGTCATTAAAATCGTGTATGATTTGATTAAGAGAGGATGAATTACTGAACAGATATGTGCCATTTGTCTGTGTTTGAAAGCAGGATTGATCAGAGATACGAGGCTTTCATCGGATGCTGCCATTTTGGATTATTGTGTTTGTTCCGACAACTAAGCGTATGCATACGCGTACGCACACATGATGCGAAACAATGTATGGATATGGTCGATACAGTTATGGAAAGCTAAACGTACGCATACCGGTACATGTACATGTATCCGTTCGTATGCGAAACCTCTCTAACGTCTTGTCACAACTCATCTGAACAGCTTGTGATTTGAGACTGGATGACTTGTGATTGACTTGTGATTGACTTGTGATGACCTTTGACTGACTCAATTTTGACCCTGGCTATTTACCTTCTCTGTCTTGGGAATGCCAGACCTGGGGATAGCAGAGACGGCCGGGGAGGCCACCCCTGGTGACACCGTCCCGCTGCCGGGGGGCGAATCCTCTATGGTGATCTGTAAATACAAATGTGGGTGTCTTGTCAAAAACAGACGATTAACAGTTTACTCATGATACTAAGATCTGTAGCCCCAAAGGCTAGTTAATGCTTCACTTGCATCAGATGTAATTTTTACATCACATAACGTCAAATTGCATTTGACTTCTGCAAATCAACAGTGGTCTGAAACACATCACTTTTGCTTTCATACAGATTATGATTCAGCCTTTAAACAGTCCACCCCAAAACTATTTTCAAAGCAGATTGGTGCATGCCTCTGACCTGTTCAAAAAAATGAGTTGGTCAAGTCAGGGAGACTCTATTTTTAAGACTGTGGCTAAAATAATGTGAACGGATGTGTTTACAGGGTTCCCAGCACTTGATGAAAACAAAATTTCACTGAGTGTTCCTTGAAATTTCATTGAGAATCTTTCAAAATAATTCCATGAGAAACATTTTCACTTTAACGAGTTGCTGGGAAGTCAAGAGGTGGCGTAGCGCAGCCAATTGTTATTGTCTGGAGAGGTGTGTCATATTTACACGGCATAAACACTAAAAAAGCCACCATAGCAAGTCAGTCAATGACTGGAAAATGGAAACTAATTTTCAAGGTTTCGAAAGTGGCTGGGAACATAGTTTGAAGGTTGAAGAATTACCTAGCTAGGGTATGTAAAATGACCAAGTGACTGTCCAACAATGCTGACCGAAAGTCAGAAATCCTGGAATAATATCGTTCCTTCTAGCCTTTGACAAAACTTCCGCTAGGATCGAAACATTGAGCCGTCTAATTTAATTTATCCAAAATTCAAATGGCCAGACTTTTGTACTGTACTTACTTGTGACTGGCGAACAAAGATACCATGGTTGTCAGGGCAACTGAAGTACTTCTTGCCTTGGACGATGCCATTGTTCTTTCCCTTAGCATCGTCAAGGACCACGCCGATCCACTTGCCCCTGTCAAGGTTCAAATTGTGTCATTCAAAACAACTTTTTGATTTCCGGGAACAAGATGGATCAGGTTTGCCCTCATTATGCAATTTACATACTAGTGGTGGGATTAAAATCCAGATATTTTAAAATTCGGATTGAATTCCACTATTTGGTTTGGATTTTGGAAACGGGATATTTGAAACCAACCTTAAGGCATAGTAAAAACAACATTTCTGGCTAAACAAAATAAAACAATAGAAATGATGCCTTTATTGTAGCAATTTAGGCCCGTTCTAGACATGGTGCTACTGCCTTGCTGAACTCAAGTAATTTGACTTTGTTGTCATTTGGTATGGCGAAAGCACAGCATTTAGAACCATTTGGCTTGGCAAATAAGAGTTCGGCACACTACCGTCCTTTGACTCATCAGGGCTGTCGCACTGTCGTCGTTCCGACCAGCAGTGGCACGCCACTGTTCTGAACACCGTGCCATTGCCATGCCGAACACAATTCAATTCGAAGTTGGTGCAAACATTTTAGGAATGCGCATGCTCACAATACCCTCTTTCGCTTCCGCATCACAGGGAGTGAAATTGGCGCGAATATTTTGATCATGCTGAAATTTAACCTGGCCCATTACTCCAGATGCACCTAACTCCCTAGGCCTTTTTGCTAGGATGTAGCCTCAATCCTGCAAAATCCTCCAATTGTTCTCATGGAAAAATAGCATTATAGCCTCATTCACCCGGAGGGGTGACCACTGCCTGAATCCTGCAAAATCCTGCGGCAGTGACTGTCAATATGTTGAGGCTTGGCCAGTGACATCCTGGAGCAGTACGGAGGATTTCAAGCATAATCCAGGCCTATATTTATGCATGGCTGGGCAAAAAACAACACAAGGTCTGGCCCAAGACCTTGACAAAGTGCATTCTACGAAATCAGTAACGCACTTTTGCCATGTAACCTCAATCCTCCAAATTCCTCCACTTTGGCAAAGAGGATTTTGAAGGATTCAGGGCGGTTAGGGTCAAGGTTCAACCATTACGTTCAGCATTTAGAGCACCTGCTGTACTGTACATGTAGATGAGCTATTGCAAACTCATTTCAATTAAGTTCGGTGCATCAGTAGCACAGCGTCTAGAACGGGTCTTAGTAACTTAACTTAAATTAACGATTGTAATATTTTTTATCACATGTATAGCAACATTTAAACTTGGGTCAATAACTTGGATGCACATATGTTGTACAATATTCCCATTCACTTAAAAAAAACATAGCCAATGTCTTAAAACGATGAAAGAACAGACTTACGATGCGAAGGCGGTGACACCGACGAATGCCACCTTCCCATGGAGCCCCTTGCCAGTGATCTCCACCTTGGAGCCTATCCTGACTGGCTTCTCAGCCATGTTGGATCAACTCCTCCAACCCTGCTGGTCTGTTCAGGAAAGAAATCATACCAAAAAAAAGGTGAGCTGTGGATTTTAGAGTAATATAGTCTTCAATTATTCTAACTTGGACTTGATCGAATATTCAAAATGCGTTAATCACGTTTAACGTTAAATAAACTGGCTGTCGAGATCGGCATGCTCCTGTGTTTGTCGAAAATTAACACCGATGTTATGAAAGTATATAAAGAAGAGGCAGCGGAATAGCTGATATTTGACTGATTTTAAGAAGAAATTTGAACTCATATGTCTCATCATGCTCATGGAAGCTACCAGTAGATCATGCGCGAAAGTGGATTTGGACAAAAATCGTGGCAATTGATAAACAATAAAACAATGTAACTTATACAATTAAAATAACATTGGTCTTTTTCCATCATCTCCTTGAGACCTTTCAATTTTTTTTAATATTTGAATCACAAAATGTTTTTCAGATACCAGTATTCAGTTGATTATTGAATATTCGGTTTATTCGGCACAGCACTACCAGAAAAAGAGGAAACGTTCAAAACTTTACAAGATTTTCTTCAGGGCTTTTCAAACTTGGTTTATGGAAGTAGTTAAAGGGAAGATACAACATTTGCAAACATTACAAAATGAAATGATCAAATTATTACAAAATACCCTGCTGGATTGTTAGGGAATGACAGTCTAAAGCATCCTGTAAAATCATGGCTCCTGGTGTGCTGACATTTTCAAGAAAAATGGTATTTTTCCAACGCTGGTCGGCCGACCAGCGTTGGAGAAAACTGGGTTTTTTTCAATTCTGCTCCTAATTTTTCATTATTAGTTATTCCGTGTTTTCTTTGCAGTTGATTACACAACTGTGAAGGGGTACAAGCCTACTAGACTGACTCTCTGATCTTACAATTCCCCAAAGTCTATAAATTCTCCGTTTCATCTTAAGTGGGGTCAGGGAGTCAGACTACAAGAACATGAATGGTTTTCTTGGTTTTTCCAACATCTACAAGTCCAAAACGTGAAACAAGTCATTTTAACAATATTTGCTATGACATACTAATCCTCCAAATCCATTTATTTCTGAAAATTGCAGCAAAAGCAAATGTTGTACATTCCCTTTAAAGCTGAGGAAATGCTGAGGAGATAAACTAGTTCCTCATCCCCGTCTGCTTCCTTTTCCCCCGGACGCTTCTTCTTCATTTTCTAATTCATACATTTGCAATACGTTTTGGACATATTGTGTCAAAATACCGGTACTGTCTTTGAATTTGTTTCCAACAAAATTGTACATGCAGCTATGTAAAAAGGGTAATGGCGCCTTTGGACACAATTTTCAACAAAAATAGTCAAAAAATTGAAGAATCCATCTGCTTTCTTGGAAAATCTGCCATCTTGGGGGCAAAAGGGAGAAAAAAGGCCTGCCTCCTTCAATTTTTTTAAAAAGGCCAGACGAAAAACTACTTTTTTGTTTACCTTCATTTTTTTGGTGGGGGGGGGGTAGGGAATGATGATGTAACCTGAATTTGGACCCAAAAAATGATTCAAAAATCATTTCAAAATCATCCATCATTTCACTGTTCAAAATGGAAATTTTGTAGAAATGGTCTAATTACTGCATTTTTTATTTCATGACTGTGAAAAAAAAATTGATTCCAACTGTATTCATAAAATGTATATGTTGGGACCTGAAGCAAGCAACAACAGATTGTCATTGTTGGTACATAAAAAAATCTATTTAAACATTATTGTTATCATGATCAGATTATCACACACACTACAATGACCTTGAAAATATGGATTGAACAAACTGTAGTCTGATGCCAGACATGGGACATTGAGTGGAGAATAACATGTGTAAAACAAATTCAGGTCAACTTTACACACTCTTTTAGCAGACAAAATTCTCCAAAATTTTCATGAGGCAAAGACAAGGTCCTCAGTATTTCACCAGCCAAGTTTGAGGTCTCAATTCAATTTATAAGGAGACTTTTCTCCAACATTTTGCACCTGAGAGTGAAGCCAAGTGATTTCAATTTGAAGCCTAAGACTAGACTGGTACATGTTCAACTTTTTGAAAAGACTGACCCCTTCAGTAGTCTGGTGGCAGACTATGGAGAGATGTGTAGAAATAGTGACCCGTTCCGGATGTTTCTTTTGACACAATTGATTGACTCAGTACTAAAGGGGTGTTGGGCTAGTTGTTTCATGTGCAAGTCTAATTTCTTTGTGTTGTATGCTTTGAGTACCTTAAAATTTGGGACTCTCAGACACAGTATTGATAGTCCCAAATTTTCGGACTAGTCTGCATGACACTGACGCTGATGAACGTATTCTGGACATGCTATCGCTGTACACTCATGTACATGTAGGCCCCCTTCAATGGTGAAAGTATTGTGCAAGCTTTCGTTCAGAAAAACCATCAGGAGACAGTTGCTTTGTACAATCATGACAATAGCTGTCACAATGCTTCACCATTGAGGGGGGCCTCCATGTATGTACAGTGATGACAATGGTGACAATTAACGCAACATGAAAAATGAAAAGGCTTTGATGCTTCCCCCCCCCCCCCCCCTTTTACCCTACCGGTATGCCTTTTTGAAGCAGTGCCAGTGTTCTAACTTCTATTCTTTCTAAGTATCTTTTTTTTTTGGTGTAATTTTGAACAGTACAGGCTGGTTTCTTTTTGGCAGAAAACTTTTTTTTACGTAATTTTCAGTTGATGTTAGGCCTATGTAAATTAATGCAGTTTTGCTCATTAATTTAACGGCACATCCCTGTGGTCATCGTATAACATAACTAAATAGCCTAATTTCCATTGTGCGTGTTGTTATCTTCAGTTTTAGCCTACTTTTAGTTTTACCCAAAAATTTGGAAAAAATGTTGCAGCCTGACGCCACTTTTTTTTCCATATATCATCTCGATGAAGGTCAGTCATTGCAAAAATAATGATAAGACATGAATCTGGGACTGAGAAACATTTCCAATTTTGTTAGGAAAATTTTCTTGACTCTCCATAGACTTAGTATCCTCAAGTCACCATAATTGACACAGGTAACGCTTGCAACGCGCGCGCGTTGTCCACCGTAAATTGAATGCGAGTGCATCAAAACATATCCCCGTCATTTTTTAGGGGGTCTGACGATACACAACCGCTGAAGTGGCGTCAGGCAAGTCAGGTTGCAACAATTTGTCCAAAACTTTCCCTTAAAAAATCCGCCCCCTATCCATGACAAACCTATTGGTTTTAAACATCGCTAACTACTTGGGCGACTCCAATAACCAAAGTAAAATTGTACTTTCATTCTCAATATATCCTAGGAACAGGGCCCGGAACTACACAATCGCCCTGCATGCAGTCATCAGCCCTTGTTTTGATTTGCAACACTGCACTGATGATCATGCTGTTGGTGCTGGGGATTCTTGGTGCTGATCGACCGAGGAAGGGCGAGGCCGCTACAGCGGACTGCCGACATATATTCGCAACTTTAAAGGAAATGAGCAAGCCCTCAAATGATTCACCTGAAATAAAAGGGATCACAAGACACTCACGTTACAAACTGAAGACTGATCTTGAACGAAATTCTTCAGAAAATTAGCATTATTCACATGAAAGTCACCAATTTTCGTTACGAACCGGCGCAAGACCCCACCGTACAACGGATACTCCTCAAAGCATCATGTATACCGTACACGTTAAGGCATGACCAAAAGAGATCCGAATAGGAAAATGTTTCAACGCAAGAGGGCGCTCTTAAAGAAATGCGGCTGCACAAAATAGAGACATAAAGAATCTAGACAAATTCCCCTCTCGCAAAAAATAAAATGGTGCCCTACTATGGCGTGTCAAACGTTGCAATTTTCAATATTTTGCAATATATATGTTGGATGTTCAATATGTGTTTGTTATCTTTTACATTTATGTGCGATGTTCAATATATGTGTGCGATGTTTTACGTTTATATGCGATTTTCAATTTATATGTGCGATGTTTTTGACGATATATATGTGCGATGTTTTCAATATTATGTTCGATTTTTTGCATTAAATGTGCGATGTTTTTCGAAACAATTGTGTGTGTTGTTTTACAATATATTTGCGATATTCTCAAATATGTGAGCAATGTTTTACACATATGTTTGACAGAGTTGCTGACTCGAGTCATGTGACTTGGACTCGAGTCGGACTCGAGTCGCTATTTGTGTGACTTGTGACTTGACTTGTAAATACCAGCTTTGACTTGTGACTTGACTTGGACTTGAAGACAATGACTTGTGACTATACTTTTAATTAGCTATTCGGTTTACGCCTTACGTGCATTAAAAAACGGACTTTAATTGGCTTGCGCGGTTTCTACTTCGCCCAGCTGCAGCTGTAGATCATATCAGTGAGCTGAGCTGTTACGTTGCGTAATGCCTGCCTGCACTTCTGGTTGGTAATTAAGAACAGCCTCCCCAGACTCTTTCCTCTTGCTATGAGGGTGCTGTCTGTTCCTGCTACTAGCTCCCCCATCGAACGTGTATTCAGTAATGGAGGAATAATTATGAGGCCACACAGAGCAAAGTTGAGTGATGCTATGCTATCAAATCTTGTTTATTTGAAGTGTAACAGTTTGTACATGAAAAAAATAGATTTTTTTCAATTGAAGTCGCCCAACTATTGAACACAAGGCCCAAAAAGGCCACTCAAGGTGTTTATAAATGCAGTTTATAGTTGCAGCGAGAAAGTTTCATTCCAAACCTCAGTGACTGAATCCACTAGTAAAATGAATAGTTCCCACTAGTTTCAAAAGTTTTCAATAAGACTGTCACAACAAACTACAGTTTTCAATGACCAAGTCTCTTGCTTAATGCAATGGTTGAACAAACTTTGAAAGGAACCTTTCATAAAAAGAAAGCAGGCCTTTGTCAATGCATGTAAAATACCGGATAGCCATTGGTTGGCGTTTAGTATACATGAACATTGAACAATAAAGTGTTAATATACTACATGTAATCGAGTGAGTGAAGTCTCTTTTTTTTCATGTCATCTCAACATTTATTTCTACAATGTTAAGAAATTTATTAAAGTATACAGTGGGCTAATATCCGACAGATATGTGATAAACTACAAGAATAGTAATTGCAACACATTGAAAAAGGGGAATTAAGGAGGCATGTTCAAAATAACTCGTAAGTTGACGCCAGGTTCTTTTAGCTTATTACAGCTGGACAAAATAATGTGCAACTTGACGTGTTCTTGGACAAAGATACTTGTGACTTGACTTGTGTTTAGACCAAATGACTTGTGACTTGACTTGTGACTGGACCTAATGACTTGTGACTTGACTTGGGACTGGACCTAATGACTTGTGACTTGACTTGGACTTGCAAAAAATGACTTGCTGCCACCTCTGATGTTTGACATTTGGAGCTATTTGTATTCGATGTTTCATCGGTATGTTTGCATTCGATCTTTTGCAATATATGCATTTGATGTTTCCCTTTTCATTCGATGTTTCGTTAAGAATCAAAGTCTGGTTACTAGACCGCGAAAGTCAGACTATTTTGCCTAAAGTCAGTGTATGAGACGTCAGGGATCGCGTAAAGTGATTAGAGCCAGACCTAAACGGTAAAAACCGGAATTGTGGGTAATTCTTTAAGCATACGCAATGTATGGTGGCCCTGAAGGGACATCGCATATCGCAAACGTGTGCGCATACGTATGCGATGTCGCGAAATTTATCGCGAATGGGTGCGCACACGTATGCGATGTCGTGAAACAATTCGCGAATATGTGCGCACACGTATGCGATGTCGCGAAATTTATCGCGAATATGTGCGCACACGTATGCGATGTCGCGAAATTTATCGCGAATATATGCGCACACGTATGCGATGTCGTGAAATTAATCGCGAATATGTGCGCACGCGCAAATTTCAAAGTTGCGCAAGTAGCAAGTTTGCGCTCGACAGTACTAGTAGTAACGATTGCACGAGGAACAGCGTGCGCGCGAAAGTTTATTAGTCAGACCCTATTTATATCTAACAGTACGTCTAGATTCCAGACTAGCTGCTACAACTCCCCAGTTCATTAGGAATTTTACTGAAAGGTATGCGACAAGGTATGCAATAAAATTCACGACATTGCAAACAAATTCGCATACGTGTGCGCACATATTCGCGAATTGTTTCACGACATCGCATACGTGTGCGCACATATTCGCGATAAATTTTGCGACATCGCATACGTGTGCGCACATATTCGCGATAAATTTCGCGACATCGCATACGTGTGCGCACATATTCGCGAATTGTTTCACGACATTGCATACGTGTGCGCACACATTCGCGATAAATTTCGCGACATCGCATACGTATGCGCACACGTTTGCGATATGCGATGTCCCTTCAGGGCCACCATAGCAATGCGTTCATCATTGTTTGGGCAGTACCCCCAGCTGTGCCTGTACTACCCATAGTGTTATGTGCATCATCTATGCATTGAGGAGTGCATGACACATGGTCTGAGCTCCAAGGCCGATGTGCACCTGTCCCGTTTAATGATCCAGTTACCTGATAATTTGTTAGCATAAGCTGATGTAAAATTGGGCAAAATTAGATGTTTATGAAACAAATCAAATTGTAAGGGGTTAACCTTGCACTTTGTTTTAGCAAAATCGGGAAAAACCAGATGTTTCTGGAAAATTGCAGATTGTATGGGGTTAGATGTTTATGAAACATTTCAAATTGTAAGTGGTGAACATTGCATATTTTAGCGACATTGGGCAAAATCAGATGTTTCTGAAAAATTTCAGATGTAAGGGATAAACCTTGCTTTTTTAGTGAAATTTTTTTTTAAAGCGAAAATGGGGGGAAAATCAAATGTTTCTGGAAAATTGCAGATTGTAAGGGGTTAACCTTGCTTTTTGAATAAGATTGGGAAAAATTAGATGTTCATGAAAAAAATTCAACCTTGCATTTTTTAGCAAAATAGGACACAATCAGATGATTCTGGAAAATTGCAGATTGTTAGGGCTTAACCTTGTATTACTAGCAAAATTGGGCAAAAAGAAATGTTTATGAAAAATTTTAAATTGTAAGAGGTGTACCTTGTATATTTAGTAAAATTTTGCAAAATCAAATTTGTATGAAAAATCTAATATGGTAAGGGGTTAACCCTGCTTTTTTAGCAAAATTTGGTGCATATTTTACTAAAATTGGGCAAAATCAGATGCCGCAAAAACAGCTGTTGAAAAAGAGCCCAATGTTGAACTTTACTGAGTCTGAGGTCTATCGAGGGGACGATCCTTATTTCAACTCCCGGAGATTCGCTGACAGTCTCTATTTTTCTTTTTAAGAAAGTCGAAATAGCTGAAGAGGGAGGTGAGAATCTATATGTGCCCAGATACAAAGAGTAGAAATCTACGCGTCTGCCTTTTGAAAATACTCAATTGCGGTGTTCATTGTTGCGTAATGATCCGCCTACTGAGCACACGACTGTTTTGCACATTAGGCTGTGTTATGCATCCTCCTAACAAACCAAACACACTGGGCTCATTATATTGACTTGTTTTTACCCATTAAGGTAAAGCAAATGGACCCAGTAATCTTCCTGGCGCGTTTGCTCACCTATAAAGACAACTTTTCTCAGTTTAAGGAAAATTCTAAGGTAACGAAATGGCCGAGTGGTTACGATTCGTCGTCCACGGTTAGCGGGGTCCCGGGTTCGAATCCCGCTGGTGTCTTTTTGGTTTTTAACGTATGAGTTCAATTATTCACTATAAGAGATTTAATTTCCCGTCGTAAAGTACCAACAGTACCTTAGCTTAATCGGTAAGCACTGCTGCTGGTACTGTCCGCGAGTTCCAGGTTGGCGCCTTCGTACAGGTTCAGGGCATGTGGTCCACTCGGAGGATCAGGGCTTAGGGGCCGCCCTGTTCCTCCCTTAGCTCTTTGCTTTTACATGGTGCCTGGCCCTCCGGGGTTATATGGATGGATAGGGAAGGAAGTGTGTATTGGTCGGGGACGCCGAGACCCCGGAAGAGAACTAAGGGATCGGCTGGGGCATTGTTATGGCTCAGACCGATCCCTGAAAGCTTGACTAGCACATAACTTTTTGATTTTTTTTACCCTCTATCTTTTATACTTTGGTTTAGTTTGATATCTACAGCTGCTCGGCAGGTCTACGGGTAGTATCAAAATTGAAACAAAGGTGTATGTCATAAATCAATGAATATTTCATAATTGACTATAATCAAAACGGAGTTTGGTTTGATCAATTTGACTATCATTATATAATGACGCGATTGCCAATTGACGTAAGAAACGCCATAAATTATACCGGGAAAGAATAAAGATGTACATTGTAATATAAATATTATTTATACATCTTTCAAATAACGTGTCTTTAATTGCGAGCATTCCAAAGAATACAGTAATTCGCAATAGTAATAGAATGGTATATGATAGCACGATCAATGCGTCTCTATTACATTTTAAAAAATATAATTTAGGCCCCTATGTGTGAAATATTCTTTGATTGACTATGAGCATTCCATGCGAATGAGTTAATTCGCAAAATATAGCAACAACAAAATAGAAAGGAAAAAGAGAAAATTCCTTTACCCTAGAAACTGGAAAAATAATTTGTTTTAAAAAAGTCAAATGGGACAATTCATGTATTGATTTAACAGTTTGCAAG